TGATCATAAAGTCGAGCCCTCTGATTTTACCGTATACAATAGACACGTGAATTAATTTGATCCAATAATATAAAATAATTAAGAGCAGAAATAAATTGATTAAATAAAATTGAAGAAAATACAAGCTTGACTGCGGGATGAGCTTCTCTGGAAGCAAGAATAAGAACAATACGTAGAACAAAAAGAAAGAAAATTGTTAATAGAACAAGAGCAAATTTAGCCGTTTTGCCTACAAATATTTTCGTATCCAACAGTGAATACAAATTCTTCTATTTATAGCTCAATTCATGGAGACAAGATCCCAAATCAAATTCTTTTTTAATATGAATAAAACCCCTCTTGATGGCTGCATAACAGTTGAGTATAAATGCAAAGATTCTTTGTAACGACTGCTCATTGAATGCTGTCCTTTCTAACCGATATCTTCCTTTCAGATTTTCGCCTCCGGTTCCTGTGTCTTTGCAACACCGATCACATGTTTATAACCGATGCCACCTATTTGCTGACTCATATCTTATTTGACCTCACTATCATGTGTCATCTTGACGGGCATCCACCCGCCATTTATCAAATTTACCCCATACAATACTATATATAGTACTCTTAAGGGAAAAACATAAATCTTTAGATAAATAAAACTATATTTCTTCTCTTAATATTGAAAATTTGTTTTTTTGCTGCTTCTTTTAATGTGAAAATATGGGTAATATAATGACATTACCCTGGGATTCAGATCATTATTACAAAACCTTAATGGCTTTCAATTGTTTCGAATTAATCAATAATCTAGGCTTTTTTCTTTTTAATTTACATACGCGTAAATAATAATTATAACACGAAAATTACATTTAAACATAATGTTAATAAGCGGGATAACATCCTGATTTCAACGGCAAATATTAACATTTGGCCTGTTAGTAAATCGAATTGATCAGTAATTTAGGTTTTTTTCTTAAATTTACATACGCATAAATAGTGATTATAACTCTAAAATTATATTTTAAACATAATTTTAATAAGCGGATAACAGGTGTGTTTGGTATAACGGAAAATATTTTCCGTGAAAAACTCCGTGGAAAATGTTTTTCAAGAAAATATTTTCTTGAAAAACAAGTAGTAATCTTATTCATTTTCCAGTGTTTGGTACGCAAATTAAGGAAAATAACTTCCCAAGAGTGTTCATAAATAATTTAGATACAATAAACATGAAGCCATAAACTTTCGAACCAACAACCTCCCGAACCCACAATTTCATAAACTTCCGAACCACTAAACTTGCGAAACCGCGAACTTTCGAACCCGTAAACTTCCAAACACATAAACCTCCGAACTCATAACTTTGGAACTTGTAAAATTTCGAACCTGTAAACCGAAAGATGAAAAAACTAAAACTGATAAAAAAAAAAATTCCCCCTGGGGGAGGGGGGGGGGTAGAGGGCAGCGACGGGACGGAACGGGGGGGGGGGGTTTAGCAGAAAAATAAAAAAATAGAAATCTTAAATTACAAAAAAAAAGTGAAAAAAAATAAAACCTTTTTTCTGCGGGGTGAGGGGTGGGTGGTGCAGAAAAACGAAACAACAGAAATCTAATTACAAAAAAAAAAGTAAAAAAAAAACTTTTTTTTGCGGGTTGGGGAAGTAGGGGGGGGGGAATTTGACGGGTGGGGTGGTGCAGAAAAATAAAAAAAATAGAAATGTGAAATTACAAAAAAAAGTAAAAAAATAATTTTTTTTTGCGCGGGGGGGGGGGGGGGTAGCAGGGCCCATCGTGACGGAAAAAAAATTAAAATTTGAATAAAAGCCTTTATGGAGAGAAGGGATGGGGTGGGTAGGCGTGGGATTGAGTTGGGTGAATGGGGGTGGGGGTGTGGGAAAGGTTGAGAAGGAGTTTTGAAGGGAAGTTTTGATAAATAAAACTACTTAGACTGTTTGTAAAAAACAACTTATGAACAAGTTACAAGAGTAGAATGTCCAAAATATGAAGTTTGCTCCAAATGATAATTACTAATACAATCAAATTTCTTTATAGAAGACAAATTTTATAATAATATTTTATCGTAACTAACTTTTATTGGAACCAAATTTTTATATTATACTTTACCTTTTTATAATAACTTTCGGCAACAACTATCACTATAATCTATGTTGTTCGGGCTTTTTCAAAATATCATCCGTTGCATGTCGGATTCTTCAAAATTAGTACATATTTTTAGAGAACCTGACACAGATCTCATAACATTTTGGAGAATCGTTACAACATAGACTATAACAATATATGCTTTGTAAAATTACCCCTGTATAACAACCTTACTCAAATGTTAATTTATTTTACTAGTATTTTTTTTGGTAAAATTTTTACTAGTGTTTTATACTTATATTGCTAGTCATTTATTTCATAAAGAAAGCACTGATACTGCTTTCCCATAACATCGACATATAGAAATAGTCTATAATATTACTAATAATAGGTCTACAAATTTTGAATAATTTTAAAATTTTCTAAACCACTTTTACCGGAGAATATATATTACATCACTATATACTTCGATTATTAAAGATTTCCGTTGAAAGATCTGCACATAATATTTCATTGGACAAAAAAGTTTTTCACCTTTTAATTAGGATATATGAATATCTTTTCAGATTAAATTAAAAATAATTTTATTTCTTTTATAACATTAAAAGATGAAAATAAATTAATTTTTTGAGTATAATTTTTTGTCTATAACAATCAAATAAAATTTTAATTTTAAATATTATTATAGGTGTATAACAGCTAGTCGCTATAGCATAAAAAAGACGAGATTCTTGGCAACCAAATCATACGAGTCTTTAGATATAATATCCAAACTATATTTCTTCTCTTAAGATTAGGAATGAAGACATTTGGGAGAAGGTGGTGGTGGCTTCCATTGATGTCAAGATGCGGGAAGCGAGGTTCAGATGGTTCGGACACGTACAAAGGAGAAGGCCACATGCTCCGGTAAGGAGGTGTGAGCGGCTGATTTCGGAGGGCATGAGAAGAGGTAGAGGACATCCTAAGAAGTATTGGGAGAGGTGATCAGGCAGGACATAGCGAGGCTTCAGATTTCCGAGGACATGGCCCTTGATAAGAAGCTATGGAGGTCGAGTATTAAGGTTATAGGTTAGGAGATAGTTGAGTCTTTCCTTACTTCGTCCTTTTGTGAGGCTAGTCTGGTAGGGTTTCTGTCGAAGTCAGCTACTGCCAATATTGTGTCTTACTACTATTTCGTTTTTCCATAGTGCCGAGTCTATGTACTTCCTATCGTTTTTCCTTTGCATCTACTTTCTGATTTTCATGCTGTTATTTTTCTTATGTTTTCTATTGGTGGTACTGATATTGTCTCTTTTCGTCTTCTTGAGCCGATGGTCTTTCGGAAACGGCCTCTCTACTTCTTCGGGGTAGGGGTAAGATCTGCGTACACACTACCCTCTCCAAACTCCACTAATGAGATTCTACTGGGTCGTTGTTGTTGTCGTCTTTTGGCTGCTTCTTTAGTTCTTTTAATGAGAAAAATATTGGTAATACAATGATATGACGATATCCTTATTACAGTACCTCTCGATTGTTTCTAATAGAGCAATAATTTAGGCTTATTATTATTATTATTAGTATTATTTACATACACGTAAACAATGATTATAACTCTAAAATCACATTTAACATAATGTTAATAAGAGGGATAAGGAAGAATTACATCTTGTTCTCAATGGCAAATGTAACTAACATTTGGTTTTGGCCTCTAAAAGTAGAGCTATTTAACAAGTTTGCAAAAAAAAAAAAAAAAAAAAAAAACTTAAAAATAGTAACA